CTTTTGACATTAATGGGGTGTTCGCTGGTTTTCCTGGGAAGATGTCATTAGGTGCTTGGCATATGAGTAATTCAGATGAAGAATGGCTTCTCTTTCATTTTTAAGTCTATCTGGCCCTTTCACTTTCATTTTGACTTTCCAGGCAACAACACCAATTTAATACTGAGAGGGTTTCATAGCTGGACCTACTCTGTGGGTCATTCTGAAGAAGTCCCAGCAGCCATTCCACTGTTACTTTTCTGACATGAATACTGGCTGCTTCAGAAGATAATGTTGCCATATTTTTTGTACATCTGGAACAAATGCTCCAGTTACCAGGTTTTGTGAAATTGAATACAAATACAAGAGAAACAAAAATAGGTTACAAAGACGAGGAGGCAAGGGATTTACATGAGATACAGTATTTCTCAAAGCACAGGTAACAAAAAGGGGGAAGTTAGGGCAATACCAATTTTTTTTAAGACAAACATGTTACATCAAATGGCCTTTATCTCTCTCAGAAATCTTACTGCCTTTCCTTCCTTGGCACTTCCTTCAAATACCCTCCCAAGACCCTGAGGCACAACATGGGACAAAGACCTCCAATAAAAAAAAAAAAAAACCGCACATAAACCAGGACGAGTCCTGTAATCATAGTAATGAAAGGCAGTTGAAGTGTCTGTGGTGCAGTCACTCTGATGCTCTGACGAGTTCACTAACAGAGACCATCTGAGCACTACAGATGACAGTTTAAATTGCTTACATGGATGGGCATKGCAAGAAGAGATGACATGTATTTATTTTGGAAATCACTGTATAGMTATGCAACCTTCCAAACCTTCCTAGAAGTTTTCTGATCTCCCAGAAGGTGTTTTCTGGAAGCACACAAGGGTTTTTATTTCTGCTCTTCAGAGCTGTGAACTGAGATGAATATGCTGTGCTTTGACTTTACATTTACAGCTGTAGAAATAATTCCATAGGAATTATCCTTTTTTAACTTAGCCTAGATTTTTTTTTTATTTTTGATAAGCAAACAATAACATTGTGCTRTTAAATGATTTTGACCCAGAAATCTTCTGTGAAGGAAGGCAGGAGGGGGGTGGTGCTGTACTCTGCATATATAAGCACAGCACTTAGGTTTATGAAGCTCTAGATATTTCTACTGGAATTCATCAGTATTTTTTTATTTAACATGAAGTTTCGAATGCAAATATATTTTTAAAGGCTTTTTGTTTATGACTTTCATCTTAGTTCTTGCAGCTGTGTATAGAGCTAGGTTTAAGGCTACTTGGAAGCTAAAAAGTGTGTWGCAAGTGCATTTGTACAGATGCCATGTTCTCATTCTATTTGTTGTCTTTAAAAGTATTTATATGGTAACAAATCAGCACCTCAGTTCATCCAGAATTAGCCAGGGGGAGCAGGGAGAGAGAGAGAATCCAGGGAAGTGATGGTACTTGAAATTTCTAGCACTCTTTTAACTGTGATACCTCTACAAAGTTTGTTTGTAGTCATTGCACTTTTATTAAATTAAACTCCTTAGTTTTCCAAAGCAAATATAGTGAAATCAGGTATTTGCAACTGTAACTACCAAGGTCACTTTTGGAATGTGTTACTCAGTTCTGATTAAAGACAGAATTGGGGAAAAATGGAAAATCAGACACTGAAGGCATGGATATTTTCTGCGTATTCTCAGAAMCATGTATTGCTTATTCTAGGGGAGGAATTAAAGTATTACTTCTATTAATCACTAGCTGTCACTGAATTATTTCTCATTAAGAAAACTGATACTGATAAAAGATTTGTGCAACCTTAAGTAAATGCAGAAAGATTRTTACTTTACACGGTACCTGTTAAAACAAATATACATCATTATAAAAACAAAGTAGTGATGTTTGTTGTTACTGTGGACTGTGGATAGAAGGAAAACGGGACAGACAGTAGCAGGTGTGGCTAAAACCCTGATATTTWTGCCTCCACTGAAGCACTTCCCAGTGGCACTCTGAGGGGATAAATATTACTGAGGAACTTAAARCTCTGTGATAGAAAAGGGACCACGTTGAGAGGTCAAGTATGTTCAATGCTACCCTCAGATGCATTCAGTGAACAATGAGGCAGTAATGAGGATGGGAAAATATCTACTCAGACTTTTTATGCATCGTTAGTCAAGCCAGTGGGTATTATGGTTGAACTAAAAAAAAATCAAGGAAAACAAACTAATTTTGGATCAAACCACATTTTTTTCATTTTCTCCCCAGCAAAACAATAAACTGAAAAGAGGGTTGACCAGAAACAAAACATTTTGTCTTCAGTTTATTTGTCCGTCTTTATTTTAGTTAATTAAATTTGAACATTGATAGTTTTGTTCTGAAAATGCTGTAAGAAATGCTTAGTCTTTTCCAAATATATTTGCTTTCTGAATGTTTTTTTCAGAAACTATTTATTAAATTTGACCCAATTTCATAAACAGTTTTATTCTCCCTTTATGATGTGTTTAACTGGTTAATCATATTCTCCATTGCCATTATTTTGTTTCCCAGGAACAAAGACTGCTCATATTTTTTCCTTTTATCCTCTTAATTGAAATGCAGGATGCCTCATCACCAAAATATTTGAGTGTTTTCCATATTAAAAAAATGCCCTCCACAAAACCTCTTCACATTCAACAATGTGAAAATGAAAAATCTGTGTGGTTAAAAGATATGTGCACGAGTGGGAAAAGGTGAGCATGGAGAGATGGATTTTGTACGTGATTCTGAAAAAGGTATTTATCCATCCTTTGTGAGGTTCTTCCTTCAGTGATCAAGCTGGGGAGCAAAGCTGGTACAATCCCTCAAAACAAAGACAAGTAACTCCCAAGCAGCACCAACCTGACACGGAGTTTGTRTTCCAAGTCCAAAGTCCTGAATTAAAAGGGAGGGGAATGCATGTGTTGCTTATCTGGTACAGACAGAACAGCACTCACCCAGACTCTCCAGTGCTGATAGCTGTGGTCTACCGAGTTTAGCAGCAATTTCATTTTTTCCCCAGGACATACAGATATGTGTTTTGCTCCTTGGTATAGCGAGCTGCAGTAATTAAGGTAACAAATCCACAGGAGCCCACACAGAGTTCCATGGTTCAATGTACAGTTTTTCTGGCTAGTCCTTGATAGGAAGATGAAAGTATTTTAAAGCCAAGGATAATTTGGACAGCTGCTCTTTATAAAGTCAACTAGATCATAGTAAGTCTACTATTAGTTTGACAATTGAAAGCCACACATCCCACATGAGRACAAAAAAAAATGCCAGCTCATTTATTTTGTGAAGCCTTTTCCCTCTTTTCAGACAAATGATCTCAAACTTGCCCAGGCTGAGCTTGAGTTAATTGTTTTGCCTCTTTGAGCAATCCTGAAGGAGACTGTGCTAAATTCAGAGTAAAGAGGATGCTGTGCTTTGCTTCTGAGGTGGTTCTGTGTAGATATTTGATAAGGCAGAGCACAGGAAGGAGCTGTTTGGGATGCTGCAGGGAGAGCCCTGGAGATGGAGGAAGGTGTCCACTATGACTCAGAGACAGATATCTYAGCACAGTTCCCATGTAAATGAACTGAGATACAAGTATAATGTTTAGTTGCTAATTACATTTAGWCTCCTTTGGGGAGCCCACCAAGATTTCTATGAATGTACCGTTCCAGCCAGTGAACAGARAGAATTAATCCATTGGTTTGCTCTAACAAGGGACCTAAAAAGAACAATTACTTACACTGCTGTGATTGCCCTTCYTCAAGGTTAAATTCTTCACATGAGATAATGTGATAATCTCATGTTCTTCACATGAGATAATTTTCTTCGAAGAGTACTGAAAGCTTTTACATGATCAATCCACTTGTTTTTCTAAATTAACAATATTGCTTTGGGTAATGAATATTTTTCATTAGTAGCATCTTTATCCTTCGTAAACTACATATTAAAAACAAAATTTAAAAACTAAGAATCAAAAAATATAACCTGGGAGAGTATTCRAAGGTTTCCTATCATAACTGATCTTCCAGCACTGAATTCTCATGGCAGATGTAAGTAACAAAAACTATTTATCTAAAAACCCTCCCTACCTCCCCCATGTTACTTATTCTAATGCTTAATTCCCACTTCCATTACAATTTTTTTTCCTAATGACTCAATCTGAATTTCATTTGATGCGGTTTAACCCCAACTTGCTGTCCACTGGTTGTGTTTGGATTTTCCTCTGCACTCTCCCTCTACTTSAGGCTTTACCAKCACTGAGACAGCACMAAGATTTCTTCAGKTGTACAGTCCAGRCTCCACAACTTCATGATCAYGTTAATTCACATTCAGGGTGCAGTYCCTGAGCCCTTGGTGCAGAARTATTCCTTACACTRACATTCTTCAGCATAGGCTGATAAAATTCATTCCTTCYGTGTAAGAATCTTGCCTTTGTGCCCTTTGATTGCCTTTTTATTTTTTAATTGGTCCATTCAAAAATTTTGTGTATTTACTCAAACATTGCATTCCTAAAAATACAAATTTTTGTAAGTCAGAAGCAGCAAAGTGGATGTACACTACTGMAAACAAGATCTTTGTGGTAAAATATTGTGATTTGTTATCATCAGTTCTCTRTTCAAGGTGGTTTCAAGACACAAAGAAAACTGGGGAAGTTTATAGGAACATAACACGTGTGAATTCAGGAGAATGATTGGTAACTAACAATACCCCAAAAGATGCTTTATTGACCTTTTTGAGACAAGAGGTAGCTGAGGAATGTAACAGTAATAGTCTCATTTGGCAATCAGATTTTCAAAGAAATTGTGCTTTTATTAATGATCTCAGGTTCTCTGTGGTTTCTATATTGGAGCTATTACAAGTGCCCAGATCAGATTTGAGGATGTGTTTATGTCTCTTTTTAATGTTTTCAGAAGGGGCAGTGGCTTTGCTGTCAAAATACCACTGGGCCCTTCATTCCTCTCCTGTACTGCCAGGTCTGTTCATAGGAATTCTTTCTGATACGGTTTTGGTTTTTCCTTTTAGGTAGAGAGGATTGTAGACAAAAGGAAGAACAAGAAGGGCAAATGGGAATATCTCATCAGGTGGAAAGGCTATGGGAGCAATGAAGACACCTGGGAACCTGAACATCACCTACTCCATTGTGAGGAATTTATTGATGAGTTCAATAGACTACACGTTAGCAGAGAAAAGCGATCCCGGCACGGGAAACAGGCCAGCGGGCCAAAATTACTGCGGGAAAGCCGAGGGTCGTCCATGGAGAAAATACCACAYAGACCTGAATCTGGGAAGTCTAAAGGATCAACACACAAAAGGAAGAGAATTAATCCATCTCATCAAAAACAGAAACGAGGATATGCAGCAAAGCCAGGATCTGCAAATGACAGGGCTGCTAAAACTGTGACTTACCGAACTACTCCCAGCGGTTTACAGATCATGCCACTGAAAAAGCCACATAATGGTCTRCAGAATGGAGATGGCAGCCATGAAAAAGATTCTAGACATTTTGGGAATGGCTCACAGCAGCAAAACATGGATTTAAATGATCACGAAGGAGAGCAAACCTTGCCCAGCGTGTTGGAAGTCAGTAACGATWCCCCTGTTGTGAATGGAATTGGTATGTGATTTAAACAACTCCTCTTTGGGGGAGGGGGGTGTTAATTGCAGCAGCCGCAAGTAGGGCCCACTCGTGGAAAAATTGTCACACAAGTGATATGGTGAGAAGTACACACAAACAAGTTTCCCTATATATTATACACCTTTTTATCAGTTGGCTTCTCTCTTTCCTTTCCCCACGGAGTGACACAAAGCAGTGTGGGCTCTGTCATGTGCCTGTGCAGTGTAAATCCCTATGGAARTGAGCACAGGGCATGGAGTAGGAAWGACMACAGAGGTATGTACAATGCTACARCTYTGGGTTTGTGCATCACCATGTAACAAATCACTTCTCAGTTAGGAGTGCTCAAACCCAATGGTCGAGAAAAAGCAGAATTCTTTTAGAATTAATACCACTCTTGCTAAAGTGTCCTGGTAAGTATGGCTAAATAAGATTCAAGTTCTCAGTATTAATGCTTGTTGTAGCCAGGAACACTGAGAACAGCCAGGCCCTTGTCTCTGACCGTGACTGGAAACATCAAAAGTCTCCAGACAGACTTTGCAGCAATGTGCAGACAGTCTTGAAGTGAATGAGAAGATACAGGAGAAATTTCTTTCTGATCTTCATAGTTACTGATTGGCTTGGTTCTCAAAGGTTTATGTTCTCTATAAAAACTATTCAGTTTAACACAAATTAAATAGCTTCTCATTATCTATATGTGTCCAATCTTTTTGGTTTGTGAGTTTTTAATCCTACCACATTTACAGCCTCAGTGGTGTTTTGTGACAGCAATTTTCAGGAGTTAACAATAAGGTGTAYATTTTGTTTTGGGATTTGGGATTTTGTTGGAGGGGGTGAGGTGTTGACCTTTACTTTCATTGAATAACTCTTGTGCCTCCATGAAGGGCTGAGGTGGAGGATGCCCTGTCAGTCAGTGGGCAGCCCCAGCCCTTTCAGACTTCCTGCCACCCTGAAGTTTGTACAGATTTCTGATGGTTTTGGGTATCCTCTCGTGCCATTGGTGTGAGAGGGGGAACAGCAGGAGCTGTTCCAAATGATTTCCTACTGCTTACTGATACAGTGATGATAGAACCTTTGAAGAATTATTTTCTCTGCTCTTACACACTGCATAAAGGTTTTCATTGAATGATCCACAGTTGCTCTTGGTGTTTTCTTTCCTTCCTTGTTACAGTTAATTTAGAACACAGCTTTATGTATGATCCCTTTCACTATGCATTTAATCTGCTTTACTGTTGCCAATTCACCTTTTTCTTATGATTCAGTGAAGCTYCTCAAAATCTTTCCTAGCTTTCACTCTACTTATTTTGTATTGCCTTCAAATTTTCCTCTCATATTTCTCTTCCCAGTTCATTAATACATACATTAAATAAACTAATCCTTCTGCAGGTCCTTGGGACAGCCAACKTGACATGATGAAAAGTAGCCATTTGTTCCAATTATTTATTTTTATTAGCTRTTTTCTATAGCCCATGATAGTACTCATTTCCTTAACAGCTTCTTGTGAATTATACACTGCCAAAAACTTTTCAGAAGTCAACATGAATTATATCACCCCGCTTTCCTTTTTCCACCTTGCTTGCAACCTGGCAAATGCTCCTTGATTTGGGAAATAGAACTGACCTTGCCCAGTCTTACTGGCTATATCTGATAGCTGCTGGGATCTTTCAAACCAGGCATCAAATATGCTATTAAAAGACTCCCAAACCAGCAAAATGTATGGTCAGATTTAAATGCATAATTACTCCTGATGATGTCCATGAAATTTAAAGTTAAAGCACTTCAAAGTGTATTTTGGCTTTTGCATTTTAGGAGTTTGAGTTCATGTAAGAATGCTTAAAATTTACTTGCTTCTTTAAAACAACTTGCATTTCTAACTACAGAAGTGTACATTTTTCTTTTTTTCCTTACTGTTTCTAATGAAGTTTTTTTAATAGTTTGTTTTATGTTATTCATGAGGAAGCTCTGATACAAAATGTGTCTTTGAAATGCATTAATTCYCATATTTTAGAATATTTTGTTTAATGAAGAACTAAAGGGTCACAAAGAACYGTGAGGTCAAATGAGCCTTTCCTTTGTCCCCACAGGAGCTAAGGAATGGCCACTACCAGCCCTGATTGAATAATCCCTGTCAGAGAGCTCTAGTTCAGTGGAAAKCTGCTTTGCCTGAGCAGCCAGGTGTTCTCTCCTGGCCCAAGAGCTGATCTCTGCAGCTCCTTTCAAACAGTTCTTYATGACAGCTTTTGCATTCTCCAAATCCATCACTTGTGTTCTGTATTTTGCTCCCCTTGCATTCTGTAGGCAAAAGTAAGAGATCTTTAAATCTCTGCTTGGTTCTTTTCTGAAAAGCCCATACTCAGCAGCACTGCCAAGGTCAGGAATCCCTCGAGTCCTGCTGTGTGATACCCAGCACAGGCAGAGTGGAGGAAACTACAAAAAGGAGAGATGAGAATGCCAGAGTAAGAGCAGACAGAAACTGGTGAAGAAGGGTCAAAATCAAATTACTAGTTTTTTTCTTAATATTGCCCTGCAAGCTTGAGAGAAGCCACATTTCCTGATACAGAGGTCTGAAATGTCAAGTGGAAGAAACTTGCACTGCTCCTCACCAAGTCCAGCAATTTCCTTGAATCCCTCAGTGTTCACACTCACACAGAGGATGCCAGTGTGATTCTGCCTTGTGGCCATTATTATCACAGAAACTCACTTTAATTGGGATCAACGCCACCCAAAAACCCGGGCTGAAATTTTACAAATTACAAATGAAGAAAGTTTCAGAGAAAAATTCCCAATTTGTTGAAGAACAGAAATTTTGTTCCAAACATCTTGGGTTTCAAAACTTTCTCCAAATGTGAGCCAAGGTCCTAAGGCTGTGTCCCTGGGGACCGGGAGCAATGTGGCAGTCTGCTTGGCAGGACTCCCACGTTTAGCTTGGAGGCAGCCAGCTATGCCAGAGGTTTCAGGCAGTCTGCCACTGAGTCTGGAAGTTGAAAGGCTGGCATGCTCCATCAGCACTCGCAGGGCTCCCAGGCACTAGCTGTGGAACAAAGAGAGAGCCTGGAGRACCTGGTTTGGCTCCCAGAAGCTGTGGCTCCTGGGCAGCCCCGTTCGGAATCTGAGGAAGCAGACGTTTGTGTCAGCTTTGAGATTGCTTGTGTGGAACCCAAATGAATGTCAGACTCATTTCACAGCTAAGTGTAAGACAGCACAGAAAATGTGTATAGAAATTTTAGGTTTGTCTTGAGATGAAGCCTAGATTTGGAAAAGTCAAAAATTCCCTGCAATTTGAAAACCCAGCTCCGCTMCCATTATGGGCCTATGCTTGAAAGTCTCCAAAACCATCAACCTGAACCAATTGTTTCATATTGTAATAATGTTTAACCACCAGTGCGTTGAACCAAGCAATATAGACAGTAATGTTTAAACTAGAAGTAATCAAATAATAGTTTTTTGTTTGTCTGTCCRTGCCAGTTCTGTTCAAACAAATAACAGCTATTTGAAAAGCAGCTTTTGATGACTCCTTCAATGAACTTCCATCAGTGTTTGGTTTTGTGTATAAATCCACTTGGGTGCAAGTGTTTCTTCTTCAACCTCTAGACAAAACTCTCACCAGGAAGCTTTTTCCCATCCATCTCCCAGAAGGATGAGTGTGTAACTCCMGKTGTGTGCACAAAATGMTAAATGCACCCCAGTGGAGGCCTKGGACCTTGTGGARGTTGGGAYAGATCTTTAACAGCAAAAAYTSTCTTCTACCTTCTACACRTCCTGCCATWAGGGGAGCAGAATCATCCTTACTSACAGTAATTTAAGGGTCTGCARWTTGGAAAAYKWTGAAAAACTCTGTGAAGAGCATCCACTGATGCTCCYAGGAGCTAACAGTACTGTTCTTTCTGATGATATTTGTTGTCTTCTGTTATCACAATTCTGTTTCTCTCCAGATATTGTAATTGAGAGTGATTGTTTTGTCAAGTTTCTTGACAGCATCAAAAATATCCCCTTTTAATTTTCTCTTTCCTTTTTCTACATCGCTCTATTTCTGTACCATCTGCTGTAGAATTTCTGCCTGTCATGTATCACTAACCAYTGTTTTTCTCCATTACAAAAATCTTTGTAGTCTCATGGTGCCCTTGATTTAAATACTCTCTGTGACTTAGTCACTGCTTCCTCTTGGTTTTTTAGCTTATTCTGTTTTATTTATTCTGAAAGAACACTGGCAGTAAAAGACAAGCAAACATGCTTGCTCTTAGTTTGGATAAAAGCTCATTGCTTTTAGATATCTTACAGATGCTCCCTTAGCTGCAGAAGTCTGAAATTATTAGTAAATTATCAACAGAACACAGCTTTTAAGTATGTACAGTATTAACCATTACCCACAAAAAAAAAAAGAAAAAAAAAAAAAAGACAGAAAAGAGGCAGTTAAAGGCTTGGGAAGACTGAGGAATACCAGGCTGCTTTCCCAGGGAGACTGAGGAAGCATGGCTTATTTCAGCCAGAAAAATTAAAGCCTCAGCTCCATCATCCTTTTCATTCAGCATAAATGCATACTGCTAATAAAAGCAGCAGTCCAGCTCTCATTCCCATGACATCCTCWTGGTTATTCCCATCCCTCCCTCTGCACCAGTTTTAGTACTCTTGAGGCTACAGGGTGAACCTTATCTGTTTGAAAATTAACCACTTTTGCAGGGTGAGTTTTCAGCCAGGTCAGTTCATGGTGTGACTGCTCATGCCAGTTCTGGGATTGCTGTGGAGGGTGTTGGCACAGGGACTGCACCATTAAACTGGCTCTGATGGAACATCAGAAAAGATGTATCTGAAAATAAMAGCAGCTTGAGGTGTCCTCTGCTAGCGTGCAAAAGCAGTGGAAGACGTGGAGCTCTGAGTTCCCCAAAGCACTGAGTTCGTTGCGATCTTTCTTTTCTTTCCCACTCTTTGTCTGCCTCAGCTTTTTAGAATATAAATTTCAAATGGGTTTTCTGCAGTGCCTGATATAATGGAGCCTCAGTCTCAGAACCTTGGGCAGTGGTGGAGTAGTGTAGAAGATGCACAGAGGATTACTGGAATAAAAGAGGCTTCAGTAAAGGAGARGGGGTGGCTGAGGGGGAGCATGATCAAAGTTTACAAAACCATCAAGGCCTCAGATTTACTAAATGCAGAACTGTTGCTCATGAAATCCCTCGATAGCAGAACTGGGGACCACTCACTGAAACTGGTGGAACATCAGATAAAAGCACAGATGAAAGAAAATTCTTCTCTGTGTAGTGGCTACCCAACTTCTCAAAGTCATACCACAGGAARCTGTGGAGACAGACAGCATCAACAGGCTCAAAGGGGGATTAGAGAAATCCATGAAAAGGTCCACGAGCAAACACTGAAGGAAACAGGAGGGATGAGCCCTCTCATATTTCTATACAACACTTAGGGATGATATTATGGGAAAGCACTGCAGAAAGCAACCAAGCTTGCATTTTCTCCTTAAATAGCATCCTTTACTGCCATTCTTGGAGAAGGATTACTGCATGCCCCGGTGGTCTGGGGATATCTTAGGTTCCCTTAAAAAAAAAGCATTGACGTTTCTTATAAATATAAATGCTGGTTTAGGTATTCTACAAGTTCTACAACTGATTAAAATCAAGGTAATAATTACATTAAACTCCCACTAAAAGAAAGAGTATTTTCTCCCATTCTGTTTTCTTTCAGTACTTAGACTGAGWATCAAATACTTACTTTCTACTAAGCCAGTAAACCATACTTAAATGTATCTAAAGCTTCCTTAGTTAAATTGTGACATCCTTAATTTGATTCATGTGCAGCATAAATTGCTTYGAGTCTTTGAATGTCTCTTTTTGCCTGTCACAGTCATTTTTCACCTTGACATACTCAGATGCTGCTACCATTGTGTGCATTGAGCAGGTGCTGACTGTTGAGGGAATATCCCAATGGCTCCAGTGGTTCCAGAGCAAACCTTCAGGAGCTCCACCACCTCCATGCAGCAAACTGTTAAATTGGCCTGGTTTCACATCAGTGTTGTCTTTAGATGGTGCTGATCRTTTTCTCCAGTTTATCGGATTAAACAGGATTACAGGGATGCACTGGAGACACGGAARCAACAAACCACTCACTGCATACTGTTCTGTTAATGAGCCACTCTTGGAAATTACACTTTTCCGTCTAGATTTGTCTCATATTTAATTTAGATCTTTCTTCTGGTTAAATTTCTTTCAGCTGGCGTCCAGATAGTTAAAATATTGTGGTAAGATCTATAGTTTCTTACATCATCTGTTCATTCACAAACTGAATACATGAATAAAGAAGAATAAAACAAACCCAAAAGAAAATTGRTTTTGTTGAGATGGATTATCTGAGTGAAAGAATCTTCTACTTTTGTCTTACCATTTATATATAAAATAGATGTGGCATAATCTTCCACACTAGGTAGATAATCAGYACAGTTAGTCTGACACACCTTCCATTCAATGGGCATTTGTGCGTCTGATTTTGTAAGTCCTTTACAATTTTTTGGGGGAGTTTTAACTCATCACATTTAAGTAGTTTATTGCTTGGTCCAGCAAGATGTTAAGGATTGAGTAGATTAAAATGCAATATTTAATAGCCTGACTCACTCAAATAGTTAATTAGTTTCACTATATTATTCCCAATGACACTGGTGTTCCATTAGTCATTTCACAAGYTGATTTCTGTTTGTAAGAATATATGTCAAAATAGATGCAGCAGTTAAACCTTATGGAAAAGAAGAAATGTGCCATAGGAAATTATTCATAACATTTAAAGGTCAAGCACATGATAATCTCTGCACTTGTAGATACTTTTTGTCAAGAAAACAAATTTCAAACTCTTCTGATTTCAAATKACTTTTTTTTAAGTGATGATCTAATGGAATTTGGCAATGTTTTCATTGCACCAGGTAAATCCTCTATTCAGTATAACCCAGGCAATGCTTTAGATGTTATCTCTTAATTCAACAAAGAAGATCTTTCTGAGTTTCTGAACAGACTCCTGGTCCAGGGTGGATCCCGGTGTGTAGGTGTGTGAGTACACACACACACACAGCACATGAGACCCGGTCACACACTGCTGGGCACTGCCTGTATTTTCACATCCCATCTCCTAACTGCAATGCACATGCAGGATTTCACACACTGTGAACAATTCCACAGGCCACTGCCAACTGTGAGGTGTCAGACAGATCAGTTACCTACGTAAGCATCAGGCTGAAACATAGCTAATCCAAAATGAGGGTAACTGATTTCAGTTTAGAGTCATCTGTCACAAATTCACTGTTTAGTTATATCCCAACAGAGCATTTTTAGTTGGATAGTGGTCACTTAWACTGTAAAATTTAGATCTGTGTTCTAATATTCATGTTGTCTGCCCTTTAAAAATTCCTGGCTATTTGAAACCAGGAGCTGGAACAGGTCAGCTTTGGCAGGAGTAAAGAACAGAACAAACAAAGGTGTTTTCATTCGGCTCTCTCTTGGCCTTTCTTAAAAATGGTGCATTGTGGGCTGGTGTCTGTTTAAACAAAAAATAGTGTCTTTAATCTCTATCCCTCAACAACCTGTCTGTGCTTTATTTTTAATGGCAATAGTGTGAAACATCTGTAATTAGAAAAGGATTATTGCATACAAATCTTGTAAAGCTCCTTCAACACCCCGCTCACACTGTTACCAATCATCATCTATTGCCTATTACAGAAACACTGCAAACATCAGCAAAGGAATGGTTTCAGCAGTTCATACACAGTGTAAGTCAGAATAAACTGTCTTTAAAAACTGGCTYATTATTATTCTCACTTGTTTTTAAGGAGGAATCATATCTTTCTTCTCATAGTTCTCTTTTTTCCCTGCTGCTGGATACTCTCCAAAATGGCATCAGTTCATTGGGTCTAGAGGTTGTCTGATCAGAGAACAAAAAGTTCTGCACGTTGRAGTACAGAATTAGAACAATGGCTTGAGGCCACATTTGACTAGCCAGGCACATTTTTTTATTTATTTTATAGTATCATTTTATATTTATTTATTTTTGTTGAAGCTAAAAGAGAGTATCACTCCATTTCTTTGATGGTATAGARGTAATTATGTTTCGATTCTTTTCATCTGCCAGGCTCTTCCCTGGCCAATGGAAGCTTGAATCTACACAGCACTGTGAAAAGGAAACTTGATGGAGAGAAAGATTATGTCTTCGATAAGAGACTGAGATACAGCGTGCGACAAAATGAAAGTAACTGCCGCTTCAGGGACATTGTAGTCCGGAAAGAAGATGGTTTCACACATATTTTGCTGTCAAGTCAGACTTCAGAGAACAATGCACTSACCCCAGAGGTAAGTATTTAGCCCTAAAAACCAAAGAAAGCCATCCTAATGTGCAGGTTATCTTGTAAATACTGCACTTTAATTTGATTTTATGTGTTTTTTTCTAATTGATGATCTTAGAAAATAAATCTGGAGTACAGACATATCTAACTTTTTCACACTTGGGATTCGTATCAAAAAGAATGCAATGGAAATTAAATTTTAATTCACATGTCAGAAAACAAAAATTAGTAAAGAAAGGAATGGCAGAATCAGTATTTCCAGCATGGAGTTGTGTGAAGCAGCTTTTCACATGTTGAAGTTACTGATACTTACTATCCTTAGGAGAAATCTGGTCTCCTTCCTTTTACTAATTTAAATAGTGCTCCCATTGCATATAGAGAATTTCAGTCTATATCCTGAGCCATTCTAAATTCTATGTTGATCCCTAATTACTTTTTCTCTGAGCCATTGTACGAATCCTTATTTATGAAATCTTAACCAATTAGGGGCTCTATCCTCAGCTGAATTGCAGAAAGTCATACAACATATAAAAGATAGAAATGAATTCCCTTATTCCAAACATTATGCACGCAAGGGTAGCCTCAGACTTGCAGGTTGTACTAKCCCATGGATCACTGGAAGGGCTGAGGAGCTTTTTCTGCCTCCAGACACTCCAGCACAGCTCCATCCTACACAGCACCTTCAAGATCAGAGTGTATGAAATACCAGTTTGAGCACCACCTGAGGGAAGAGTAGATAGTAGCTTTGAGGAATCTTTTYATTCAGTAAGAAAATGAGTAACTTTGAAGTTAATTACCTACAACTGGCAGGTATGATGGGTCCTCAATTTGAGTCCCCTTCCCAAATGCACACATACATGTGGGCAGTTAATACATTGAGTGATATTAAATGGCTAAAATGGGTGGTACATATCACTCCTCATTTAAACTAATATTATTTATATACTCCTCATTTATCACTCCTCATTTTTAAACTAATATTTAGAAGGACTATCTTSGTAATTACCACAGAACACCAAACACTTGCTTTCAACACTAATTCCTTAAGATGCATTAGATTGCATTAAATCCATCTCTGTCTTAATTACCACTAATTGATACTGTAAGTAATTTAAATGAAGGAGCTCAAGGGCCTGAAAAAATATGAAATCATGGACTTACTGCATTCCATCAGAACAGACATACCTTTGCATTTCTGGCTGTGCTGTTCCAAACAGGGGATTAATTCAGGCTCTTTGGATCTGCCAAACCAATCCATTTCATCCTTTGAAAGTTTTCAATATGTCAGGAACCCACCTCTGTAGAAGAATAAATGATAARCATGTAATAGTCCTCTGCCTGCATCACCAGTGTAGACTATTTCTAGAGCCTTTATTGAAGTTCACTTGAAAACCAGGAAATACATTTTAGAAAACCACTTTGCTGACCAGGATGGTCAGGAATTAATCAGGTAATGAGTTCTCCACATGGAGATTGTCTGTTTAAACTTCATCCAGGCCAAAAGCARTGGCAGGCTCTTGCCCTTGGAAGACTCATGACTGTAAACATGAAATGGCTTCTTTGGCCTCAGTCCAGGCTGCTGCCCATGGTCATTCACACACAAACCCAGCACCTCCAGGATTGGCAATTTCACTTCTTGCTGGCAATTACAGCAAAAACGCAAGGAACTGAAAGGAGGAAAGTGTTGAATGACTTGTCCCTGCAGTTTGTCACCCATAGGTGAGACAAACTGACAAAGTGTTTTAGGGAGGTTTAGAGGATTTTCGRTTTTGATGCTTTTATCCCAGTGAATGCAAAGTACAAACACACAATTCCTACAAAATGAAGAAAGTATGCTTCATTTTGTGTAAAGAAATGCTAACTTCAGGCTTTGTTAGACATTCAGTAAATTATGTTTGSCAAATAGCAAATGAATAATTTATTCAGAGCAGGTCTACTTAATGTGGTTRAATAGTGGCCTGATTATACCCRGCCATCTACATTAAGGAAAAAAAASGTGTGCACTGCAATAATTTTAAACTTTTAAACTCAAGCTTATATAAAATTCCTCTCACCCATCAGCAGCTSTGCTTCCCTTTGTGCTTTATCAGAATCTTCAGATGAAATTTAATAGTTGTGTTCAACCATTGGACTCTATTGTTTATGCTAATTGAATTAAAATAATAAAGAACTTATTTATACAAAATAAAAAAAGAAAAAAAAAAAGAAAGAAGTCTACCTGACTCTTCATCCCATATTATTTGTAACCCTATTTGTACAGGTGATTTTAGCATGAAATGTGCCAATGCTCTTTCCAGCAGCCTTTGCACTGATTGAAGTTGGCTCAGTGCCTCTTTAGTAATTGAGTTTTTTCTACAAAATTGTTCAGGGCACTATAGAAATTCTTTCTTATTTTTTACAAGACCTTATAAAACTTCCAAGACAGTGTCATGAAACAGCACAGCTTGTTCTTATTTCAGTAGTTTAGGCTTGCTACGTTTAAAATTTGTTTTTTAAATGCATTTGTGAAATATTTCATTATTATAAATTCCATTTCTTCTTGTGGGACTWTTGCTGCTTCTGAAGCTCTTTCTCCAGTGATGCTGCTGCTGTTTTAACTCAGCACATCTCAAGGATCCAAATTCTGTTTCAGACTAAATGGACCCATCTGCTGTTTTTATTTAACACTATTAACAGAGCTAGGAGTTAATATTCCCCTGAATTAAAAGCAAAACATTCTCTAAACAGCCTGGGTTTGTTTCCATCAAAGAGTGACAGAACTACCTCAAGTACCTTCTCATGCACAAGAATCAGGTTTCARATTTCTGGCCATGTGAATTACAGGGTTTAATGTTCTGCCAGGTGCATTTTGGAGCACTGGTTTGCCTTCACTTTTCCTAACTTGAAATAATAAAAAAGAAGGTACAAGATTACTGTTCTCTGTGTTTCTGCTCTCACACAAAAGTAAATTGTGGTTTGGGCCAGTATTTGTGCCTGCAGTTTTAGAGGTTCCCAAGTCTTTTAGGTGCTGGACAGAAAGGACTCGGAGTCCGTTTGCACAGTCAGTAACACAAAGTTTATTTATGTAAAAAGGCACAAGTGGGCAAGAGGTTCTAAGAACAACAGAATGGCTTTAAAATTTGAGTTTACTGTAACATTTACAGAATAATTACCTTTAAGAATACCACAGTGAGTCCTCAGAGATTCAGAGAAGTTAACTTTTTTAACTAGTAYTTCTGTTTATGTGAACAAGAGGCTTCTGTTCAAGATACTTTGTGTAATTACAGTGATAAATTCCAAGCTCTTTGATTTTCCCARTGTAAGCATGATGGAAAGCAAAGGGCACCAAATGCCTTTGGAAATTTCCTACATCCAGCAAAAGGCATTAAAATAAGCTCTTAGAAGTTTAATGAAGKTTTTAACCAGTTTGTTTGTTTTGCAATATAAGATGTCCTGTTCAAGATGTAACCAGATCATTTTCTTGACAGGATTAAAAATATAAGCAACTTCTGAGAAGGTGATAATTTTATTATATATTTTGGTTTCAATAAAACAGTTAGTGAAGCACTAGGCCTGGTCTAAATTTACAATCCAATCAATTATCATAACCTAAATAACTGGCCCATACTGTTCTGTAAATAATTCATCAGAAATTTTCAGCAAATGTATTCAAATAGAAATACTGTCCCCACAACTGAAAATTACCCAGAAGGCCATTAAAAAGCTAATTAATAAAAGCACGGATCTGGAGAATATTGCTAAGGAGATCTGGAAATAGTAGTATTAGATCTGGTCCACTAGAGAAAATAAAATTTAATTGGACAAATGCCATAGTTATAGCAAAATGGGGAAAGGTTTAAGGACTATGGAAGAAAGAAAAAAAATATGGAATCTGACAAAGAAATATAACTAAAGACAGTTTATATCTCTGTATTTGAAAACTGAATTCACCACCACATCAAACAGAAGTTTGTCCTTAGAAACAGAGAGCAGTTCTGAACTAAAATTATATTTATTTTACAGTACTGCAGTTTAATACACAGGTCTGCAACCCTGCAGACAGACCAGCTCTTTTATCATTATTTTCTTGCTCATAGCTTTTCTGTAAATAGCTGTAGAGAAATGCCCATGCCCAGATAATCCATGGGAAAGCCAAGGCTCCCAGAAGCAGCAGCAGGCTSAGTGAAAAGGGGACTCAGGGAATTTTGGACTGCACCAGCAAAGGAACCATGGCATAGACCACAGGAGTGAGAATGGGCTTGGCTGGCAKTGCTGGATTCCAGTGAGCCTCCAAGCACCTTTGGATGATAAATTAATGATAAACTTTGAGCTGTTTAGAAAAAAATACACATYTTGGAGCCTGAAAATGCTRATAYRTAATGGTTTCYTGGTTTCTTTTGGTAGRAAYTAGTGGAGCAGGGGAACTAAATTTYCCCTTCTGCTCAAAAATATTAAGCAAATCCTTCCCACTTTTAACCATATCTGAGAAACTGATCCTAATAACAGACTTTCAATGTCATCCTCTCCAGAACACTGAAAAGCAGTGATGACAGAACACTGTTTTTTCCTACAAGAAGTGTAACCTCTGCTCAAAAATTTGGATGGYTTTTAGCTGGCTTTAGTCATCCAGATCAGTGAGGGGTGAGATAAAAAAGAGGCAGGTTTGTAACAGTAATGATGTGTGGGAAGGAAGGAAAGCACTGGTAACAGCAAAGAGGTGGCACATAGGCAAATACCACCAGAGGAAGGGGAATAATAAAAAAACTTGCAGAATGGAGTATCATAGTATTTAGTCCAACATTCCTCACTGGACAGAAAAATGTTTAACTGCTATTCCCTGATATTATTTATACATTCGCCCTAAGAAAGAGCAGATTGTGAGATCTYTTCARGTGAATTAAGAGGACAACATTGCAYTCATGTGGAACTAGGAAAATCAAAACACATATACTTTTAAATTTTAATATCTACCACATTCTTAAGTTTCTCTTTCAGCACTGAACAGTGTTTTTTGAGGCTTTTCCCCTTTGTTTCCCCATTATATGTGCAGTGTTGCTGTGTTTCTTCCAGCTGAGGTCTGAGACAGCCTSTGAGACTCTCAGAATAAACAGTGCTCCTAAAATTGCTGATGACATTTTTGTACCTGCATAAGAATTTCAAATACACTTCCAAATTCTTCAGCTTTTAATTACTTCACTTCCACCCACTGTCACACACTTAGTATTACATGTGTTCTGAAGTGCTCTTGCAGAAGTGAAGCATCTAAAAGTTCACCACCTGCTCTCTCATGCCCAGTCCCAGCCAGTGATTCTCACTTTTAAACAAACCCATAGAGCAAGCAGCAAATCCACAGGATTTCTGTTAAAAGGCAACCTCAGGTGGCATCAACAAAACTTCAGTGTTTGGGGACATTTCTTAAACAAGACACTTCAGGGATCTAAAGAAGTTTTGGAAACAGAAAGTAGTGAACAGAAATAATCACAGGCTAAAAATCTTGGGTTTCTCTCATGTGGAAACTCTATTTAAATCCCCAGTTTCATTTAGTTCTCTCTTACCTAAATTTACACCAACAGCAAATCTTTCAGTGCAAAAGAGAAAAATTTRAGTCAGCAGGACCCTGTCCATAGGAAATACTTGGACTCATGGGTATGATTAAGGATAGGAGGTGTCACAGTAGATGAAATCGTGGCCCTTGCAGTGAGGAGCAATCACTACAGAGAAGAGGGGGCTGAAATGAGTTACAGCTCACAAACCACATTCAGTTGTGACCAAACAAGAAGTTACCCATCATATGTTTATGAAATAATATTTCCTTTCAAAAATCATTAGAAAACAATTCTCTGCTCCGGTGAAAGGCCATTTTCCTACAATACCAGCAGCTCAGTTMTATACAGATTTTGATTAGGTTTGATTTATGGTGCAATTAATAGCTTGATCCAGTTGTAAAACAGARTCAAAATGTCTCTTTTTCAAGGGACTTTTTTGCTTTAACTTTTGTAAACTATAAAAATATCACTGACTACAGAAAAAGGAATAATATGTTTGTCGTGTTGATGTTTATGATGTCATCTTGTCCTGCTTTGCTCTGGTTAAATCATATGAACCAAAGTAGTTGAAGAATTGAAAACTGGGGTTTACAGATTTTGCTTACAAGCTGTTGAGGTTAATAATAGGCTTTTGCTGTGATAAACATGTTCCCCAGGATACAGTGATGTACACTGAATGTACACAACAAAAATAAAAACGTGCTATTGGAAATTTTAAATTGCAATCAATTAGCATAAGCTGGGTAGAATTTCCCATACAACAAAGAACAGCCAAGTCCTAAAACCTCTTTGAGTTAGTAAAAAATCAACAAAGCACTGCCAAGTAGAAAATATTTTGCAAACTCTCAGTGTTATAATTCGAAGTATATTAAAATTATATACAATTGATGTATTAATAGTGCCCAAAAATTAAGTCTCTCAAAATCAATAAGGTTTGTAAAAGTAGGGAAATGATATTGCCACGGCATGCATGTCGAATTGTTTACTTTTCTTTATCCACAGATCATGAAGGAAGTTCGGAGAGCATTGTGCAATGCATCAGCTGATGACAGTAAACTCTTACTTCTCAGCGCAGTGGGAAGTGTATTCTGTAGTGGCCTAGATTACTCATATTTAATTGGCAGGTTATCCAATGACAGAAGAAAGGAAAGCACTAGGATTGCAGAAGCTATAAGGTGACCCAAGCTTACCTATGATCTCTAAATTATGAAATGCAGTGTGTGATTATAAAGATATTTATCAGGTCCAAAARTGTTGTATATTTAAATGTTGATTGCATTCGAATTATAGTCCTGCAAATTTGTTTAGTAAAAATAAACTTGGACCTTTCTGTATTAGAAAAGCAAGCACATTTATTCCAGTGCTAATATCCATAGGGATTTATTTTATTCCAGTTCTCTGTATTTAATATTTCAAATCATTCCTCCAAATTCAAATACAACTCCGTTGTTTTTCCAAATTCAGTATTGCTTCATGTTCTAAAGTGGTTCCTGAAAGGCAGATCTTTTACTTGTTTTAATGTTCATCATTTTAATGAATTTCAATCCAAATGGGAATCCACAGCTTACTCATATTCTGTTGAAWTAGCAGTCTGCCACTGTATTTCAGAACCTTACTAGAAGGGTCTCCACTCTTCTTCTTRAATTTGAATTACTTAATATATATGTAAATGTAGTTTTATTTTTGTAACTAAAATGTGACTTTCCTTTTATATATACATATATATACGTATCACATCACCTTAATAGAATTCCAGGGTTTATGACATGCAGTCTGCAAATCAATCTGCACAACACATCACCAAATATTCCATTATCCACMAGGTAGATTTTCCAGTATAAATCAACATTATTCCACTAAAACCAATGGTATTTCCCCAGTCTGTATCAGGAGAGGATTTGGTCCCGTTTTTTTCCTCCCCCATTTCCGACAAATAAATATAATTCTTCTGAGAGCTTTAAAACTTTATGCAACAATTCTATGAAGGAATATTGATTTTTTTTTTATAACAACAAATCTCTACTTGGGATTTATTAGTATAAAATAAGATCAGGTTTAGTTATTACAAAATATATACTAACCACCAATTTTCTTGGCTACAACTACTGCAGATCAGTTTGGATTCTTGGTTTAAAACTTTTGAATTTCTCAAATTAGAATTTCTCAAAGTAGCAATTATTTTGAAAGAATTTAAAACACACTTCTTAAATGTAGTAAGTTACAATCTGTTTATAAGACCCTAACTATGCTCACATACCATAGGTGATACTTTTTAAAAGAGAAACCCTTTGAAGGACACATTCTAATTTTATATTATAAATGTGAGAGTTTTGTAACAATGTGGAACCAAAATAAAAAAAGTGAGGGAAGAAAATCACTACTCTTGTCTGAAAACAGGCACACTTACAGTCCACCAAAAGATGCAAATTTAATATTATTCTTGTAAAAATTGTGCAGATAGGTATTGTTATATATGTTTACATTTACTTGCACATATCTAATATACAGGTATACTTATCAATTTAACATTTAAATGAGTATAAACCAGACTGATAGTCAGTTTTTTCACCCTTGGACTCAGACAACACTCTTGAAATACTGGTACAATGTWCTGCTCCTTGTCAAGAATGTCGGCTTCAGGCCCACTGAAAATAGATTTTTTTATTGTACTTCTGGAAACAATACCCTACGTTTTCCATTTAGCACTCTCTGTGCTYCTGTGAACAAAGGACTCAACTCATGGAAAATACACTGTAATAAGAGAAGAAAAGAATGTCCATTGCTTTTTCAGTGGTTTGGATGTCCTAAAACACATCCACGGATCTCTGCCTCCACTGCTTTACATCAASTTAGACTTCTATCAAAATGAAATTGAAATCTTGGTTACCATGTGTTTCCACTTTCCAGAGCGTGGCTCTCATATACCAGTCACAAGCTCCAGCTGAAGTTTCAGTCCCCACCACGTCTCCTCTGCCATGAATGGTTCATTTATTCATTGGTGCCGTGTCCTCAGCCACGCCGGCGGCGTTTGTAATGAA